TTCCAAAGTGGCAAAGAGTACCGCACCGCGCTGTTCCTCTGCCAGAGAGAGATTTCCTTTGAAAGTGTACAGGGTGCAATAAATCAAACAAAAATTTAAGAGACGCATATGCATCCTGTTGTTTTATGCACGGGTGAGATGCGTATAACGTTGACCACAAAAGATTCCAGGCGAAAGCAGGGCATACGATCGACTAAGAAAGGTCATTGTTATGGTAACCAAGTTAGCTAACTCTGCCAAATGCAGAAAAGCAGAGCACTCAGGAGAACAATATACAAATATACAATATTTATAAAAGATCTGTTGTACTCACAAAAGTTATTTTATCATACCTACTGCAGAGAACCTTAGAAATTGATGTTCATATGTAATGCAGAAAATGCAATCCATTGTAAGCCTCAACTAATACAAAATAGTAAAATTCTTGTTTTATTACTATAATAATATAAATACATTATATGTATTTTTTTTCTTCTAGCCTATTCGAGAATTACTGTACTTATTGTTACTTTCCATTAGTTTGAGTTTTTTTAAATTTATTTATTAAATTATTAAAAATAATTTTGGTCATTTAATTTCTTAAAATACTCAATTTTTGTCAGATTTCAAGATAATAGAATACTGAGTTAAAGCAATCAGTCAAACTACAAATTATCATCAGCATAACCAGGAATTAGGAATACCAAAGAACCAAACAATAATAATAATAACAATAACATAAATATAGTAATAATAATAATAATAATAATTTGATGACACAATACTCGATCAAGCATCCCAGTTTTATTTAAATCCTTATTGCTGCTGTGTACTAAAAGTAGCAGAGATTGTCTTTCCCAACACATCCCATTACATACCATGTGTAAATTGTTTAAACACACAGTATTTTATGAATACAGATGCTCCTCTACTTATGAATGAGTTACGTTACAAACGGCCATTCATAACTTGAAATGTTCGTAAGTTGTTATTCAACATCATTTTAAGGGCATACGCAAGTACAAAGAACTATGCTGCTGCACGGCGGGAGTAGCGGCCAGAAGTCGTACTAGGCGGAGTTGGTGAGCAGAAAAAAAATTGATGTTGCGGACAGGAAACGGGAGCCCAACAAACACAATTTTGACTTACAGTCCTCTTCGTTCGTATGTCTGAATGTTCGTAAGTAGAGGAGCACTTGTAACAATGTATGAATTAATTTTAATTCTACAGTTCTTGACACCTAAAAGAGAATAAAATAGAATTCTATCTTGTTACCTTGCTCTCAAACTTAAGTAGGTAAATAAGTTGTTTATTTATATAAAATTTTGAGAACAAATGTTACAAAGTGCTTCACTTGAAATGAAACAATAATATTCAAACATCAGCCTAAGGCCTGGCGGCATATAGAAGTTTTCAGACGTGGTTTAAAAGAGCCCGAGCTGCTGGAGGATCTAATGTCCACGGGCAGACTGTTCCTCAGCCTTGGGGCAACAACCGCAAAATCTCTGTTCCCCCTGGTTTTAAACTTGGGCCTGGGGGTAACAAAAAAGACCCTGATCATAAGACCTGAGTGTCCTGTTTGCTGAGTATGGGGCCATAAGTGTGTTCTTGATTAGTGCTTTATATGTAAACAAAGGAATCGCAAACTCTCCCCTATATTTTACTGGGAACCAGTGTAGGGAAGCTCAAACAGGAGAAGTACGCACTCTGCGGTTGGGTCTGCTTAATAGCCTAGCAGCAGCACAAAGTTACTTTAGAAAAGAGTTTGTGAGGCCGGTGAATAGAGAATTAGCATAATGTAAATGAAATAATATGAAAACATCTATCCATCCTTCCATCTCCTGTAACCGCTTATCCTCCTATTCAGGGTTGTGGGGGGGTCCGGATACGGAAACATGAAAACATAAACTGCTAGGTTTGTGTTGCTTGTTGGTTATACTGCTAATTAAAACAGGCGAATAAAAAGACTGTCCTTGAAGAATTATTTGGTATTAATATTTTGACATCATCTGTCTGTCTATCTTCTACCTGCTTATCCTGCTCAGGTGAGGGTTGTGGGGCCAGGCGGAGTGTATCCAAGGTAACATAGAGCACAAGACCAGAGGACACCCTAGATGGGATGCCGGTCCATCGCCGGGCACACACATTCATACACTATGGGTAATTTGCAGATTCCAGTTAACCTAGTGGCATGACTTAGGGCCATGGGGATACCATGAGAAATTGATGCTTTATCAATTGTTATTTGATCTCCATGTGGAAATTCTCTTTACGCCTCCCACAGCTTCCTCTTTGTAGGTGAGAGCAAGCTGACTGTGAAGGACAGTCATCCATAGCAGCGCCCAGGGAGCTGGGGGTTAAGGGCCTTGGGGAGCCCAGGGAGCTGGGGGTTAAGGGCCTAGGGGCGCCCAGGGAGCTGGGGGTTAAGGGCCTCGCTCGAGGACCTGCACACATGCTGAGGCTCAAACCGGCGAACGTATGATCATAGGCACAGAGGCTTAGCCCACCGAGCCACACGCTGCCCCCAAAGATGCAAAGAAGATGCAAAGAAGATGCAAAGCCAAAAATGAATAAAAGAAAAGTAAAATGCCTATATACAAACTCAGTTCCAGAAGACTCTGTCCACAATAAAAATGTACTGAAACCCTGTGTGGTACAGAAGGTCATCTTTCCGAAGGAAATCAGGTCTAATGACAACATGGTTCAAAGATGTCTGGTCCCAGGGCAAGTGCACTTCAAAGGACTGAACACCAAGTAAATATGAACTAAAGTAGGGAGAGGATTCTGTGGTGGCAGCACGTCTGCTTAACTGCAAGCTTGATTGTAAATAATCAACCTCAAAACTACACTGAGGAGTAGCTAACTATAATGAAATCTTTAGTTTTCCACATCTAAATTATCGCAAAAGTAGACTCGGGCATGTCTCTTGGAGAAAGCGGGAGCTTAGTAATGCATTTGAAAGCTTTGAGAGTCTCAGGATGTAATCACGTGACAAAAATGTTTCCAGAATATAAGTGCATGAAGAGAAATATAAAATGTCAATGTTTCGCTAATAAGTTTATTTAAATAAAATACACCTTGACCCTTTACTGGAAAAAGTGCAATGATGAATGGATACATAAAAATAAAACAATATATTTTATTTTTGGATTATTATTGTTTACTCAGTCGTGACTTTGGTGATTTTTCAAAATTCTGAATTGAATAATGCAATATATATTCAGTCATTTAGAAGACACAAACCGCGATTAGTAGCGTTTATTGCGATGGAGATTCCTGCAAAGTTAATATTTGGTTTCTTAATCCATTCAGTTGAAGAAATTAGTATATTGGTCTTAAAGAGCTGGGCTTCTAGACGATTCTCATCGTAATGTTCAAATCAGGCACGTTGCCATAAAGCAGTGAAGCAACCGCACCTTAAAACTACCCATAACACGCGTTCAAATTATTATCTTACCTGAAAATCTCTAGGATACAGGTGTTCCAGGCAATTCAGTTTCCCTATGTTTCCCCTGTCGCGCGCTGATTTGTACACGGTTTCGCTGTTGTTTTCATGTCTTTTTACGAAGCTCTTGAGGTAAACAAGCCATATATTTAAAAACATCACATGCCTTTTCGATGTTTTTTGTTTTTACAGATAATAAATGAAAGTATTTCATTCGCTGGATAGACATATTTCTTGATGAAAACGGTATAGTATTGCTTATAAGACTATATTGTGCGCGACGATCTACTGTATTCACATGTAATAATGTACCTGAGTGATTTTCAGACATCTCACATACATATTTGCCTAAATATTAGGAGAAACATTATTTCCTGACATTCAGGATATTTGGTTCCCCCCTGTTAAAACAGGTATACAGCAACTCTGGGCCTCGGTACTAATAACAATACAGTATTCACATGTAATAATGTACCTGAGTGATTTTCAGACATTTCACATAGGCCTACCTCTTTGCTTTAATATTAGGGGAAACATTATTTCCTGATAGACAGGAGAAACATAGGGAAACCGAATTGCCCGGAACACCTGCATTACAATTCTGCCAGAGAAAATTGCAGTGGATTCAACATAAACACCCGTTTTAAAAGAGAATGCAGTAGATTATCCGAGCATTTGGCTGCATTAACAAATTAAATGACACTTTCGTTGTTATTCGGTAAATATTTAAATAATAAACACGAAGCGTTTTTATGCGCGGAATCTTTTAACCATTTTTCATTCATAAATAGGCCTACTCTTCAGTTAAGAAATAAATAAATAAACTTCCGAGAAGTGTAACACTATCCTGACCTCCGCAAAATGTAGACAAGCAAATTAAATGGCATTTTAATAATAATTTTAAAAGAATTACATAAAAAAAAACTTCAACCAGGCGGGAATTTTCACCTTATTTGTTGAATATGTTTATCCAGTTCTACAATCATGGCAACACTACCGTAATTATTACCATGATCATCAGAAATAACAGAGCCCGCAAAATTTAAATAAAAATTATAGGCCTAATATAATTTCAATAAAAAGAGAAATATTAAATAAGAAAAATAACCTAATTCATTACTGATCACATGTCTATACTTTACATTATTTTGTTATCTATACTAATCCCAGGTGGCTTTAAAGATAAATAATAAAAAGGTAAAAAAAAAAAAAAAACCTCTATTTTATGTTTATATGCACTGTCATAATTTACTAGATAGTTATTAATCTAAACTTATACGCACCTCGTGATATGCATGAAAATAGAGTAGTCATACCCTCTCAAAAACTAACTTTTCAACTGAAAAAGGGTTTTACAGTAAAACTTAGTCAAACATTTACGACATTGATGTACTTGTTAACCCTTGCTCTTCCCTCCCCTTCATGCGCTCCTAGTCGCACGATTTCTCTGTGCCCATCCACCCACTTCGATCAGCTTAGAAAAAACACCATCTCACGGTAGCAAGGTGTCTCCTTCGGTTTATGAAACATAATTAACAAACTGTAATGAGAAAGGGGCAAGTAAATGGATGCTTACCTTGTAAGGATGTGTAGAAGCGTTTCTATTTTAGCCGAAGGTCCCACACAGCACGTAGCATTTTCACAACGGCTGGAGGGCTGAACAGGATGTGTTGTGGTCAAGCTCTTCTTGGATGGCCCAAACGCCGCTGTAAATGGACAGCAATGCTGAGACGCAAACCACCTAACTCAAGCAAACAGCAATCCAAAACTTTGATCTCGAGAGAAATGCAGTGATCAGCTGTATGCGTCAACTTATATCATATAATTTAATTTGTTTTGCATGTGCAATGTGGAACTATGACGGGACTTCCTCATTTAAGCCCCTTCCTGTTACTTCCTTGAGCTTTTTTGAGTATTTTAACTTCCCTTTTTATCTGAACTGCATTAACGTTCGTGGATGGACATTTTTATATCATGTCCGCTAATACTGCAGTTGACTAATATTATATGGGCTACTATATGCATTTTATTCTATGCGTTTTATGCAAGAGTTTTATTTAGTTGCTGTTGGAACAAAATAAAAAAAAATAAAGTGAGAACCATTGAAATGAATCATGCCATTTTTGTATCGTTAAGAGTTTAAATTTCTTTTTTTCTCCTGGGTAAATCCAGGGTTCATCGTGATTCATCTAAAATTAATTCTACATGAAGGGATTAACTCGCGCGCAAGTTTGCAGCTCACAAATGTTTTGACCAAGGCATACAAAAGTAAGTAACAGTTAAGTCGACAGCCTGCTTGTGCATGAGCTGTGATGTTTTTTTTTCTCAGCAGAGTTAAGGCATGGATGAAAGGGCCCCGATTCACTACGCGTGGTCCCCAACGTATGCGCTGTCTTAAAATAGTAGCGTGGCATAAGCGGGCCAAACCTGGCCATGTGCCGTGAGCAAGGAATAGCTGTAAGTTGCATTTGTAGCCTTAGTCAGTTACACTGCGGCTCAGGTGAAATCAACTGCAGTTTCATAACACACGTCGGTGTGAAGTTTCGTGCAGAGAGCACTGAATTTTCGCCCTCTACGATTTAATAATCCATCCATTCACCTTCTGGTCAAGGTGGCAGGAGTGTTGGCTGCTGCCTATACTGGGGAATACTGGGCACAAAACTGGGTACACACCCTGGATGGGATACCAGTGAAGGCACTAACGGGCACGCACGCACACACATGCACTGACACGCGCATTCGCACACACACGCATGCACACTCACGGGCAGCAGGATTAATATTATTAACAAAAACAGTAAAAATAATAATGCTATTTTGTATTTTGAAATTGTGTCCTGAATCTCCAGCTTTGTTACCGGGAAGTCCAAGGTTGGTTGGCACCGCAATAATATCCAAGCCAGTAGCGGGCGCTGTCACAGAAATCCAGGGCGTGTCCCTGTGCACCACATTCACTTATTTTGTCATGAGATCAGAAGGTTGATCTCACCACTTAAGGTGGTGACCAGTTTTGTGTGTGTTTTTTTTAACGTTAACACAAAAAAATGACCTAATTGAAAAAAGTCTAATAAAAATCTGTCTTAGTGACATATTGAAAATAAATTAATTGTACCAAACAGGGTTAGCTATACAGTATTTTGTGGTACGATTTGAAAACCTGTGTTAAGTCATGTCGTCCTGGTATCATGAAGTGCATACAGAGTACATTTGGGGTTGGTTGCTGCATAATATACAATGTATTTTAATATTTTTTGTTCAATAATTAAAAACAAGTTGTCTGTATGAAAAATAATTCAGAAAATAACAAAAAATGACGTTTGAAAAGTTCAGCAGCCAGAAGAAGTGCCACTATTGTTGTCTCTCCCAAAACGACGCAGTTCATATTGTAACCGAGCTTCTGGCGCGAGCCATAATGATGAGCGAAAAACACGTTTATTGAACATGAACCACTCCCCCGGCCCTACAATATTTCTATTTATTTTTCTCTAAATTTGTTTTAATGATTAACACTCCACATTTAGTATACTTTGCAATATAACCTATATTTACAAAGCATCGTACATGTATACTGATTTGTATTTTGTGAATAATTTATTCAGTGATAGTTCCTTTATATGCCTCTGTAAAACACATGCTTCCGTATACAGTATATGAAGACATATAACACAGACATCCATGGTGAATATACGAACCCGGGGGCACGAACAGAGGCGTACCGATGGAGATGTGAGGCCACTCACCGGGGCTCTACGCCACCGGGCCGCGCGTTACGGCGCCCCTGTTTCACTAACAGTTAAATATATAAAACATTTTTCATTTCAATAAAAGAAAAAATTTTACATGAACGTTTTATGTATTTATGTAATGCTCATTGTTTTTTTACATTAAATATCAGGGGGGGAAAGCTTGTTTTGACACAAATTAAATATTTAAATATTCTGACAGCAGTTCACGGTACCATCGTTTCGTTTCTCTAACATATTTTAAATTTGTAGGGGAGTCATTTATACCTGCTGTTTTTTACGATGGAGTGAAGGTTACAAATTGTAACTTACAAGACCAGTTTCGAAGGAGAAAAACAGTAGAGTTCCATAGTTACGATCAGGGGCGGATTAAGGTGTACAGAGGCCCCTAGGCTGCAGTAGTCTGTGGGTCCCCCAACCGCGCCAATGGGGGCCCCCTTGCAGGCTGGCACACGTGGGGCCCCTAGGCTTAAGCCGCCCCTGGTTACGATGCTCGGACGTCTATGAGTGAATCATACAGTATGGCTGCGATTCATTGGGGTTTGTTGCATTTTTTAAATCCACCAGCAGAGGGTGAGCGAGCACAGTACAGATTAGCTACATGAACGATAGCAATTTATCTTCCTGTATATCTAAATGTAATGAAAGGCAGTCACGTTAATTAATCTTAATAAATCGTATTAATGCAATTGTTCTTATACATTATAACAAACCTATATAAATTAGTTTTGAAATAAGTGGTCATCCAGCAATCACAATCCACACGAGGCCCATGGTCATGCTTACTTTGTGACACATGATTAATAATAAATCAGTATTATGTAGTTAAACACCTTGGATGAACATTAAATGTTTGACATTATTAGTCAGGGTATTAAGAAAATATTTGCGACAATCTTCAACAAGATCAGAGCTGTTTGATAGTTTGTCATTCTCTGGCATCACAAAATATGTGTATTCATATATATGATAGGACAGAATATATGCAATATATGCAGGGTTTGTTTTCTAATGAGATACTAAAACATGTGAATAATCATTTTATATCTTCAGATGAATGTTTGTATCATTTGAGTACAAATTCATTTATTCATTTAAACAAGAACACTTTGCCTTTGTGAGTAGAGATTCATATGAATTCCATGTCTTTATACAAAACCATTGGCTCTTTATATTCCTTGAATGATCTTGGCTATTTTTTGCCTGTTTTCACAGCTAGATCCTTACTGAGGGAAAGACAGAGCAGTACCTGGGCGATATGTTGGCCAGTAATGTGTGGATCGTCCACCTGAACGCAGTCCCAGTTCTGAAGGAGAGCCATGGGAGTGCAGTATCAGTACCTCCTTGCTGCCGCATCAGGGATATTCGGATATCCTGTCATTCCCCATGCAGGCATATCTGCCACCCTGAACTGCCATTTCGGTGCCTGTTTGCATCTATGTACGTGCCCTATAGTGAGCTGGCATCGTGTCTAGGGCATGATGATGTCTAGGGCACGATCCCTCGTGGTTCCTGGTTCTCCTCACCCATCAATACCTCCTCAGGCTCCTTCTCAGTGTGACTCAGATTGGATTAGCAGTCACTGGAAATGTTTCAATGGGTGGATATTTACATACCTTCTTTCCAAGATTCGAGCGTTTGTCCTCCCAGGATTTGCAACTCGCTACCACTGCCGGCACAATAACCTACCAGCTTTGAAGTCACATCTTATATTAGCGAGGGAAACATTCATGGTCCGGATTAAACTGTCACAGGTTCACCGGCGCTCCGATTGGTCAGTGTTGTCCACTACAGTTCCTGGCGGAGCCTTTGGTGTGTCTTCGGTGCAGCCCGTAGTGACATCACTGACCGCTTCGCTGTCATGACACCCGCAATAGACCATCTGTCAGCGGAAGTGGACTCAGGTTGGTGTCATCAGTGCCAACCTGCTGAATGCGTGTGCCGCAGGCATAGATATATCCCCTGAAATTCTCTGTTTTCTGTTTTTTTTTCATGCAGCCCTATTCCATATTCTATAGATTGATGGAAAAACACAAAGGAAAGCCTTAAATCTGTACTTACATGACCCTTGGGAAACAAGGAAAAATGCAAAAGGCCCAGATGTCTGAGATCTTTCTGGAGACTCAGTATTCCTTACATTGCAGAAAAAAATCCCAATTCAGGTTTCAGACAGAAATTAAAATGCCCTTAAACGTGTACATAAAGAGGTATTTTTTCCTGATATGGCATTCACAGTGACTATAATCCCTTACACGATAGAGGTAACAATCGGCGATTTTGTAGTTAAATTTAACTATGTCCTAGGAAGGGAGGTAGAGGTATGTCCATAAATGGAAACACAGCAAAGGCGTGCTGTCACTTTTGATTGAAGGAATCCAGGTAAACAGTCTACTACGGGAGGGGGTGGATACGTATTTAACAAATCAATGCACAAAGCTGCCATAAGGTCCGCGGATGTGGAAGATGGTTGATTTCTCAGTTTGAAGAGGTGGGGGCTGGGACCGGGGGCGGTGAAAGGCAGCGAGATCCCACCTGACGTCATGGCGAGAGCCTCAGAGGGACGGCGGTCGCTCGGCGAGCTGTGCCTTTAAATACCGCTCGCGCGGATGCGGACCTTATTGCGGACCAAACGGGACGGACTGTCGCAGCTATTTCATTCACTATGAAATCTGAAGTGTAAACTTCCACCACTTCCCTGTCAGTTTTGTTACCGTAAGTGTTTTTAAAACTAATTAATCTTTTAATAAATACTGGACTTGCATTTTTGCATCTGGTATTGCGTGCACTTTATAACAGACTATTCGCGATCTGTAGGATACCATTGAATTATATTGTATTTGACTCTGTAACAAAATGTACGCTACTTTTTAAATGTAGCTCGTCCGTGTTATTAGATCTGTAGCGCAAAGCTACCAAATGGGTCTGTCTTGTTTTCTGGTGGGAGGGCGTCCTAAATTACTGTTTATCGGTATTACGAAATAGCCAGCCCAAGATTAATTTATTAAGATGCGTTTCTATATCTTATTTAATTTCAAAGTGATCCATTACGGCCGGAATGTAACTGGGTATGCTTAAGACGCGTAGTTTTTGATTCGGGAGTACTGTACGGGTGAGGCGTGGTTCTTACTTTAATTTGACTATTTTATTTATTATTCTCTCTGTAAACTGAGATATGCAGTATTTCACTGTAGATAGTTGTTGTCATCGTAATTATGTAATTATATAGCCCCGCTTTTCGGCTGTAAAAAGGTTGAAATTTATGGATTGCTCATGAAGGGGCGGTCTTGGGAACTGGGCTTTAAAGCTTTATAGGACCGCTATTGGCTATGGCGAGCGTTTCTCTCTCCTGATGTTCGTAGGATATTTTTTTTTTAATCTCATTTAACTCATTACTACAGTCCAGTGAGACGATTATCTTGTGATTTAAAGTGCCATCCGTGGGCGCGAACGCTCCCCAGATAGCACCCATATGTTGAAATGACATTGCCTATCAGACAAAAAGGTTGAAACAATGTTGATCTTCAATCTCTCACTTTTTATCAACATTGAATCAAGGTTCTTCCACCATCAATTTTTCTATATTGAAAATCTGACCAAAAATTCAGTGTCAACGTTGATAATTGACCATAATTCAATGCATTTAACTATAATTCAACGTTGAAACAATAACATGATGCTGTCTGGGTCACCTGTCCTCTTCTAAGGAGGAGGAACAAATTCATAGACTAAAAAAATGACTAAAAAGCCTATGATGCCACAACTGTCAATTTCCTGTCTTCTCATGGTGGCAAATGTATTTTTTTCTACTCTATCCTAATGAGGAGAAAACCAAGCTAACGGGTTAGGTGTAAGTTCTCTGTCAGACTTATCTTGCCTTTTCCCACCCAGGTACTGCGAAGAATAATGCCGGAGCAGAGCAATGACTACCGTGTGGTGGTTTTCGGCGCCGGGGGGGTGGGTAAAAGCTCCCTGGTGCTACGCTTTGTGAAGGGGACTTTCCGCGAGAGCTACATCCCCACC